GCTATGACGTGAATAGAAGAACGATACTCGATACGAATAGAAATGTAAGAATCAACCAAAACCTCTAATCTCAAAACAATTTAGTCACTGCAGTCATCAATTCTTCGTAATGATCACCAATGTTCCTCATTTCGTCTCGAACCTCATCATACACACCGATCTCCAAATTCCTTTTGTCAAAGAACTTATCATTTCCTCTTACACAAAAATCCATATTTCCATACGTAAACACACTAACTCACTTGTCCAACAAACACAATCTCAAAAAAATCCCGTCTAAATCGACAGTGGCCTAGGGACCTATTTAATAAAAACTAAGTCATTGGGCGACGTAATTCTTTCAGCCTTCACGTCATTACAATTTTTGATATTATATATGCGTGTATGTATATACATATGTATATCAATTGTCGATTAACAAAATTAACTATTAGTAAAAAATTATATACATATGTATACACATACATGCATGCATATATAATATCAAAAATTATAATGACAGGCTGAAAAAGTTAAGTCGCCCAATGACAGTTTTTGATAATAAAAATATCTGGATAAAAGAGTAAAGCGATTGCGAAAAACTCAAGCAAAATCCTACATCACTCGCTATCCACCATTTTGAACACAAACAGAATTTCTACTTCAACAATCCAAAAATATTATACACAGTACAAAACAAACATAAATGTAACTTTTTAGAAATGGTTTACATCAACAGAGATAAACACAGCATCAATTACAGAACAGATAAATGTAAACTCAGTCGGAGCTACGCCAACATCATCATTAATCAAATTCAATATCGATAACAAACATATATCATCACATCACACAAAACATGTAATATGACAAATAAAACATCATCACATCAAACATTAGTACATAGTCTAATTTTTCATAATTTAGCCTTCCTTTTCTTATTTATCCCGGTCTATATAATCCTGAAAGGATAATCTAGACGAACCATAAACAATGTTTTTTCCCATCGTCGGCTCATTTCACCTCAAAGAAGCCAACTCCTTATACAAAAATGTCCTTCTATACCGACTTCCTTCCACACCCCTTCAAAATCCAAAGTATATAAACATAAAACAGCAATATCTCACAGACACTCTCCACAGGAGACTCAAGAATGGTACAATTACGCAGAAAACAGACACTTTGAGTGAGTAGAAATGCTTTAATTGAATATATAAAAAATATATATTTATTTGCATTATATAAATTCTCTTTTTCCCACATCCTACATGTTTTTGTTAAATTTAAACAACGTTTGTAAACTCCAGGCCCTGAAGATGATCTCAACAAAGATCGAAACGTTGGCACGTTAAAGAAAATGTTTTTCTGAAACTTACATCACACCAGACCGCATCTCTTTAAATTTATTAAAAAACAAAGCTTTTCAAAAGTTTCAAAAGCTATTTTCTAATTGTCTTGTATTGTGTTTATCGTATGTAAATTTATTTTGTTGTGAGTTGGATCTTCATGAGGTCAAATGACGGATGAATTTAAAGAAACAAGGAAAAAGCTTCCGGGTTCAGCCGAGCTTTCGGCGATTTGTATCTTATATATTTATACATTTAGACCCTGAGGATGGCGATATAAATCGCCGAAAGCTCGGCTGAACCCGGAAGCTTTTTCCTTGTTTCTTTAAATTCATCCGTCATTTGACCTCCTGAAGATCCAACTCACAACATCGTATACAGCAGGTTGATAACCTCAACTTCATCCTAAGTTTATTTTTTAAGATATTAGTATTTATAAATTGAGTAAATTAAATAACGTGTGGTGTTTAGTGACCGTTAGTTAATGATTGTTTGGAGATCGTGAAATGCGGTCTTGTGTGGAGTTGGTTTAGAAAAACATTTTCCTTATCGTAAAACATTTTCTTTATCGTGCCAATGTTTCGATCTTTATTGAGATCAACTTCAGAGCCTGGAATTTATAAACATTGTATTATAACTTAAACAATGTTTGTAAATTCCAGGCCCTGAAGATGATCTCAATAAAGATCGAAACGTTTGCACGTTAAAGAAAATATTTTTCTGAAACCTACATCACACCAGACCGCAACTCACGATTTCTGAGTAATCACCGACAAACGGTCACTAATCACCACACACACACACACACACACACACACACACACACACACACACAACACACACGTTTTTATTAAATAGGCCCCATTATTTATTTGTACGAAAGTATATGTAAACAATATAAAAGCAAATCAAAAATACTTTCACTTTTACTAATTAAAGGACATGGCTGTTGGATTAACGTAAAAACACTAATGTACGATTGTACAACAATTTACGGATGTAAAAAATCCTTTTTGCTTATCTGAATTTAATTTTAATTAAATAATATAACTTTGTATTCGTCCCTCGTTGATTGTTGTGAATGAACTAGCTCTCTCATGTATAGTGTCGTCTCCTTCATATTGAACATGTCCAAGAAGTTTTTAATCGCAATCCACCGGACGCCTCCAACAACGGGATTTACACCCATTGAAGCATTTTAATTAACATTCCAATTTGCCGTCAAATGGGCACTTCACGATTCTGACTTAATTGCATTGTGATGGAGCAAAGTGCCATTCCGCCTCGAGTGACAAGTGCTTGAGCAACTAGAACCGTTTAACCGTTCCATTTACTTTGCCGAGAAAAGTGAAATTCACCTCAGTTCCGGAGATTAAAAGAAGCCTAATGGTTGTGTGTGCATTCAAAGGAAGAACATGTGTAAAATGATATTCAGCTCTAATGCAGAAATAATTATTTAACACTGAAGCAAAGCTGATAGATTACATCAATTCCATTGAAGAAGTAGAAAAAACAACAACTAAATTTGCAGATAAACTAATAAATGTCCCTATGATATGAAACCTACACTCTTTACCATTGTACCTTATCATGCCATTCGTTTTCACCATTTTAATACATTCTTAGAGGGCATTTGAGCTTTGTGAACCGGTGACAATACCTACCACAACATTTTTTCGAGCCAATCATCGTCATGTTAATATCAACCAAATAATCGCTCTTAATTCATTGTTAGGAAACAAAATGTTGAAATTTTATTTAAAAAAAGACTTATTTTTCAAAGCGAATTTCCTAGAAATTTAGTGATTAGAAAATTAACAAATTGATTTTTCATGGAAGAAGGATATCAATATGAGAGGATTTCAATAATTGTTTCTCTTCTTCTCCTTCACGATAATTTGATTCGACGTACTGCAGTCCACGGTCCTATCTTCTTCAAACGTTTTTGTAAGAATAATTTTTCCTGACCTGAAACTGTGCTTTTACCTCTTAGTCACACTTGTATTTAATAGGTTTCGTAAAAAAAATTTAATACGTTTTGGATATATACTTGTTAAAACATCAATAAAGTCGTTCAGTTTGGCACTCGCATTTGAGTTATCGATGTCAAAATATGGCATATCATTACTTAATTGATATTTCAGCATACTTTTTGTATTTGTACATTTTCAAAAAATGTCTGCTTCCTGTAAATATAAAATTCACTTATCACTTTAAATTTTTCGACGAATCCTTAGCACCAAATTGTTCCCCGGGGATCGGGATATAAAACTGCTACAAGTACAATGAAAGTTACACCACCAGGGAAAGATCCTAATACGGATGTTGATATGGACTCGGCTGAATGTGATGGAAATATAATCAATATTTGGGTGGAGTAGATCCAGAGAGTGACATCGTAGAGTAAAAACCTAACCAAGGAATCGGGTCCTGTTTTGCCTGGACAAATGTTTAGTTGGTTGTGCCTAATAGACTATGAAATATGTTGGTACTCTGTCTACGCTAAACAAGACCAAAATAATGTTAGTTTAGATTTTAATCAAAAGATACTGACGTTTTACGTAAGGTTAGGTTGCTCACCATATTTTTTTTTTACGAGGGTTCGCGTCAGCAGAGGTCATATAAACCCTCGGAGAGCCGGTGTTTTTGAAAAAAAGCCCATTTGTAAGTATTTCGGGTTCGAATGCAGGGCCGCTGGATTCGAACCCGGGTCTTTTACCTTACAGTGATGAGCGCCGTGTCAAAGCCTAAACCGTTGCGGCCACCGATGCCCCCCCCCAGCTCCCCATATTCTACTGAATTTTAAAATGAAGTTATGACAATACAAATATGTGAGGAAGTTAATTTTCGATAACGAATGAGTTGATGACGCAACTTTACTTTTTTATGTTTTTGTTTTAGTTTTTATATTAAATTTTATCATATATTATCTAAATCAATCTTCATCTATCATCTAATTTTAATGTAAATTGAGGTTGTTTTTTGGTTTATGTTAGCTATGACAAAAATGTTTCAATCATAATTTGTTTATTGGTTGAGTTTGTGCCTGGTGACCTCTAGAACAGTATAAATGGCACAAAAACTCGATCTTATAATTGATATAATTATATAATTAATCCATATCAATTGTTTATCATTATTTCAACAAAAGAGTTATTTTCAATTAGGATTTAGTGTTTTCATACATTATTTCATTTGTAGCAACCAAGTTAAATTTAACAATTATAATATCGACATTTTAAAATTTGACTATTCCAAGAAATAAAATATGTTATTGAAATTAAAAGCGAAATATCGAAAACCATTTATGGATTATGACTCTTACGCTAAGGAAAATTAACATGCTAAACCAGCATGACTTGCAAGTCGGGACGGGCGATGTCTTTTCAACCTTAACATTAACTTATATTATTTTTTTAACTTACAGTATTGTTTATTGTACTAACGAAATAAGGTGAGTGCTCAAAAATGGCATATTATGGCTTCAATAATTACCTTTAATAATTTAAAATAAGTAAAGATAAATACCATCAATAATATGTCATAAATCGTAAATCAATAAAAGAAACGTTAAATTCTGTTTGGAATGTTAGTCAAATGGTTGGAACATTAGAAAAGATAACTTAGAGTTAGAATTCAAAAAATAAAATATAATAAAAATAGTGAGGTTTCACATTGAGACTGCAGTCGTTAGGTATTCTTCAATCATCCAGATTTGCTTAATCTCTTTGCTTTTAGTCTGTCAGCCGGGTTTGACCATTTTTCATGGTACGACAGGATGTCTTCGTTTTACTGAGGATCTTTACTTTTATATCCCAAATCGCCACTAAGAGATCAAAACGGATAAATCAGAAACTACATACATAACAAAATTATGTGGTTAAAATACAATTAGATATTTCAAATATTGTATGTATATATATATATATATATATATATATAATTATATATTATATAATTGTGATTAAATATTTGTTGGCCCTCACTTACTCCTCATTTTGTTCAATTTTTCTTTGGGATTACTGACACCACTATTACGTCTATCTCTATCACTCTCTCTCTCTCTCTCTCTCTCTCTCTATACATATATATATATATATATATATATATATATATATATAAGTTACGACTGCACGAAACCACTAATTCAGCAACAAATGATTCTACCCCTATACAAATTCAGAGAATGTAATGTAAGCATAAAATGTAAATTGTATTATAAGACCCCTCTTCGAGAGATCAACTCGGGACTCCGAACAGTATAGACACTTTAAAATAGAATCCTTGTGTAAAGTTATAGTTTATATTGAATAAACGTTATTTTTAAAAAATTAGTTTCTTGTTGTTATACCATAAAAAAAAATTTAAACAACCATAACTGTTTTATTTGTTAATTTTAATAAATAAAGAAAATCAACGAACGGGACATACAAATTTAGCATGTCCTACCTCCTATAATTTGGAGTTAATTTTAAAATTCTTACTTGTCCCAATACTAAACATATTTCACAGAATTAATAATTAGATAAATAAAATAAAAAATATTTCTGTATTTATCTGCCTCTTTACGCAGTATATTTCAGTTCTTTGCCGTTTCAGATATCCAATAGAAATTTGTCCTTGTAATTTGTTTCTTGTCCAGATAATTCTTCTGTGTCTGATCATTTCAACTATACCTCTGAGAGTTTAATTCATGCGCATAAAATGCGGTATACATCTTATGACACAATTTGTAGAATCCGTTTAAAAAGATCCCATATCTTTTTCCTTTTTACCGACAAGGTTTTAGTGCTATGCAGGTATTAAAAATCTATTTCCTTACAAAGTGAATAAATATAATTATTCCTACTTTCAAAAAAAAATTTTTTTTTTTTTACTTACAATTAGTCCTGACTTATCAACATCTATAATAAAAGAATACTACCATTTTGACACATTTTTCATATTAGGAGTAACAGGCAATTATATGTATTAATTTCTTGTAACGTAATATTTTTTCTTGACAATCTGTTGGGGCAGGATAATTTAATTTTATCACAGAAAAAATGCAGAATGTATAACATATTTCAGTGTTTCGTAAAGCCATATTATGGAAATTTTCATTTTTTAACGCTTTCAGATCACAAAAAGTGGTATAAATCGAAAAAAAATGGAAAGAATAAAAATAATACGGAGTCTTCTGAGAGGCGTTTGCGTGTCAAGACCTGTAGGGGGCGTCGGTGGACGCAACAGTTTAGGCGTTGACACGGCGTAAGGTGAAGTTCCCGGGTTCGAATCCAGTGGCCCTCCCTTCCACAAACTAACAAATTGGCTTTTTTCAAAAAGGTTGATTTGACTTCTGCTGTTGCGAACCCTCGTTAAATTAATAATAATAAAATGATATTAAATAAACTCTCACGTTACCCGATATACTTACAAATGGTTTTATTCCCAAAAAACACCGACTCCCTGAGGGTTTATATAATCTCTGTTGTTGCGAACCCTCGTAATAAAAAGACTATGACTTGTAGATGAGTCTCCGAGAACCTGAGCAGGAAACGGCGAATTGCCTTTATCCGATTGAAAATAGGTCACATGCGGTTGACTCAAGGGCACATGCTCCTGGGATATACTCATTCAAATGCCCCTTATGCAGACGTATATCCCTGTCCGATGATAAAGACTAATCATGCCGCCGAATTTAAGAATAGTCCTCGGGTACGGTACCCAGTTTCTGGGCCCCCAGTTCCAATTTTGAAGGATGTAGGTTTTTTTTATTGTATATAGATCTGTTCTATGTGTTTTTGGTAATGTGTTTTGTTCGAGTTAGGTTTCAGAAAAACATTTTCTTTATCTTGCCAATGTTTCGATCTTTATTGAGATCATCTTCAGGGCCTGGGATATACAAACATTGTTTACATATAACAATTACATTTTGGATGTGGAAAAGGATTAAACAAATTTCTCTTGTCCTATAACTTCAAAATAGCTTTCAAAAATTATAAAACAATTAAAACACTTTTTTCCATAATTAAAGATCCCACACCAATAACAAATAAATCTAACGTAATCTACAAGAGCAACTGTTTAAACTGTCCGGCAACTTACGTCGATCTTACATCCCAATATCTTGACAAGAGAGTAAAGCAACATATCTATGACTGCAAAAAACCTAAGCAAATCCTACAGCAGTCGCTACCCACCATCTTGAACACCAACACAATTTTTACTTCAAAAATCCAAACGTATTACACACAGAACAAAACAAACATAAACGTAATTTCTTAGAAATGGTTTATATCAACAGAGATAAACACAGCATAAATTACAGAACAGATACATGTAAACTCAGTCGCAGCTACGCCAATATCATTAATCAAATTCAATACAGATAACATACCTATATCAACACATTACATTCCACACATCAAATATTTTTCACATAGTCTAATTTTCCAACAATTTAGCTTTCCTTTTCCTATNGGAAGTTTTCTCTGTTTTGACCTCTTCCGAAGATCCTCTGAAAAGACTTTTTATTTGAAGAATGCATGAAATCGTTAAATAATCGTGATAATGCATCTTCTTAGTAATTCTCAACTTTATAAGATTTTTTTCAGATTGTTGACTAGATGTTACACTTGTGATTTATCAACTGTGGTGGTATTATAACAAACAAAAGTCATTCAATGTGTTTACTTCAAGCGCCTGTTGTCACAATCATATTCAGAAAGCGCGTAAATTAATTAGATGTATTCAAAAGCGAAACCTTGGGAATCACGTCTCTATAAAGACATCCTTCAGGCAATGGAAATGGGAAAATAAAAGGCTAGTTGAAATATAGAAATGGGAGCGTTCGGAGACAAAACGACGTTTTAATAAGAGAAACGTTCGCACGTTAGGCCTCGTTGAATGGTGAAAAGGGGGGCTAACGGTGTTTATTTGAAGGGAGCACGGTTCGCTAAGGAGAATCTGTTGGCTGAGAGCTACCCTGTAAAAGGTAGACTATTTGCCGAAGGCTAAGATGCAATTAAAGTACCCTTACAAGAAATAAATAGCGTCTCTTTCCTTGATTGGCTATGACCCACTTGTCTGACAAAAACACTGCTGTTAAAGTTGCCTTATCGGCGAGAATGTGGTTTCCTTTTTAGAGAAAACAGTCATTGTTCTATTTATATAGCACAAATGTTGGCACAGAGCAGAAAGGAAATTCATCACGATACGTTAGGACAAAATCATTAAACAATTAGGAACTATTCTGGATCAAACGATCTACACCAGGGGTGCTCAAACGGTCGATCGCGATCTCGAGATCTTTTTGAGTAGATCTCGAGAAGAAAAAAATTTTTAATAAGTAGGTAGGTAACTAAACTACAAAAATGTATTACGTAATAAAACAACACTGCTTGCGGCAAAAGGTGGCTTTATCAAAGGAACGCGCGGCACTTGTCAAAGAAAAGCCGCGTTGTTTCTAGACTAGTAGACAGTACAGTCTAGTCTAGAAACAACGAGAGACAGTACAGTCTAGTTTCGGGCGGCGCGTTTGACGGGAACATTCGAGACTTTCGTTCACGCCGATATAAATGTTGTGCCTGCAGGAATTGGAGTCATTCTGAATTGTAACTTGATGGCGATACTACGTCGATACAAAGTTTATTATTAAATAGTGGAAAATGAGTGCAGTGAAATCTAAAACGTATCATTTTAATAAGGATTGGGAGGAAGAATTTTTCTTTTGTATGGTGAAGGATAAGTGCATTTGTGTTATTTGTCGTGCGTCAGTTGCAATACCTAAGCGTGATAACTTAGAGAGGCATCATAAAACGGTTCATAAAAACTATGAAATGGATTTTCCGCCACAGAGTGAATTAAGAAAACGAAAAGTAAGTGATTTGATATCTTGTTTGAAAAAAGAACAATCCATGTTCACAAGACCAGCCAAACAATCAAAAGCTGCTACGATCGCGTCATTTAAAATATCTCATATATTGGCGAAACACAAGAAACCATTCGAAGATGGATCGGTGGTGAAGGAAGCACTTATTGAAGCGGGTGAGTCTTTATTTGGAGATTTTAAAAATAAAACAGAAATCATGTCTGCTATTAGAGAACTTCAGTTATCTCGTCCGACTGTCACAAGGCGTATTGAAGTCATGAGTCAGGACGACTGACGAACTGACGATCATATGTCATCATGCTTGCGATTAGCACTCAGTGGTTACGTACCATCTTATGAAAAGTATGCTGAGGACATGCAGTGCCACGCTTCAACATCCAAAGCCACTCCTTAGTTAAGTTTAACACCATATGTAACTCTTTTGTTTTGTAACAACCAATAAACTCGCAATTTTGAATAACTATGAGTTTTTTCATTGATATTGTAGAGAAGAACCTAACTAAACCTAACCCAAACCTTGACTAAAATAATGTACCTATATTGTGCAGAAAGCTAATATCTATATATGCTACGGTACACCCTACCTAGGTAGGTAGGGTGTATCGTGTATGTACGACAACCCTGCATCACACACACTTGCAGCCTCTCAGAGTCGATCGTAAGTAGTCTAAAAATATTGAGGTAGATCGCCAGCAGTTCAAGTTTGAGCACCCCTGATCTACACTGACAGGCAAAAAATTCCACCCACTTGTAAAACAACTTGATGTGTATATATTTGTATGTATTATTCAAAGTTTTAAGTTTTTTAACGTTTACTAATTTAGTCTTTGTCTAAAAAAGTTTTAAAAAAAGTAAATTGCTGAAGAAAACGAAAAATAAAAAAGAGGGACAGAAAATTTTTTTAAATTATTTTAATTAACATTTCAATATCTTGTATTTCCTCCTCTTGCCTT